CACTTTTAAAATGGTTCTGACGCTCATGAGTTGGAGTGTAAAGACAGCGGAGTCTGTGTGGTCCAGTTTCTCCTCTGGACTCCCCTGGCTGTAGATCATTGTGCAGCTTCTAAAGCAGCTGATGCCAATGCATATCTCTGCTCTGACACATGATCTAAAACCAGACAGGCACCTCGCCAAGCAACAAACAACTGCAGCAGGCTTCCGTCAGACTAACTCTGGATGTAAAGAAGTCCAGATCAGCACGAGCACCGGTGGTGGTTCAGAGGAGTTCAGCTAATAAAGCCTTTAATCTCACAGGGTTTAAAAGCTGCAGTCAAGGGAAGGCATCTGTTTACTTTGACAGTTCAGACTTGTTGGAGATGAGCGGAGAAAAGTGCGTTAGACGCCTTGCAGTGGACTGACTCTACTGTCATTTCTGACGTTTTAATCCAGTTTTACAATCCCGCACACCCACTAAACTGTCAGGTATATGTTTTACAACAGTAAGACAGTTTTGATGTTGGACATAAATTCGGCTTACATCATATTCATATAAGACACTAAATACATCATTCTATATTCAACTTTTTAAAATGTTAATTTGATAAACTCGACAAAAAACATTACTTCATGAAGTAAGATGAATATTCTACATGATAAAGTTACCAGGAAACTAAATCATGTCGTTAAAGCTAATCTAGTTAGGTTTTCATGACAAAAACAAACTGTGAATTATGTAACAAAACTTGTCAGATGTTTTTTTTTTTTCACCACAGAAAACTAAAAACACGCGCTATTCCCCTAAAACTTTATTTATTTTTATTCTGTTTGTTTCAATATATCGTTCGGAACTAAATAAAAACAGAGTTCTTACCTGCTGGGTTCCGCGGACTGAAGACTGCACTGAGACTGATGCAGAGCAGCGAGACCCAACAAACACGACGTCAAGCTGAACATATAGGTCGAGTCTACTTCCGGGTGTCCTTTCAAAATAATTCTCGTTTACAATGGAGTTATAAATCGATTTTCTTTTATAAAATAGGTTTGGAGCGACGATTCAGAAAATATAAAAGCAACACCGCTGAGTAATTCCTCCAAACGTTTTTTTTTACCGCCATCCATCTTTAACGTAGGCGTGATTTTATTTTGAAATATGTATACTGAATCTTAGATGTTTTATAGTGATGCACGAAGCCAGCTTTCTGCAGTCCAAAAAACTTCTCATATGTGAGCTGAGTTGAGCATGTCAGTTGAGTAATAATTTGTTGTTATAAATAAATCATTGTGAGTTCAAATCGAATTAATCTCCACCATCTAACTTCATGGTCAACCCTGTATACTGAGGGCTGCAGCGCCACCTGCTGGTTCATTATCACCATCAAGTTAGATAATGGAATTGTGTCTTAATTAATCAATCAAGCAAAAGGTAATTTCAGTCAAAATAACATATTTAAATTCAGCCCCGAGTTTGACCTGAGACGAACGTCATCTCAGGTCACTGTATAAAAACATTCACAAAATTATAAGTCATTTAGAACAAATTGTGAATTTAAAGGAGAAGCAACAATACAGTATATTGGCAAAAGTGTCAAGTAAAAAGTCCCCCTTACCATAAATAAACCTGTTACAAACCTTTAAAAGTGCAATCGTTTTTCTGAAAGTAAAATATTTACAAAAATCATTTTACAGTTTCTCTTATGAAAAAAGAAGCTTTGTTTTGAAAGTTGAATTCTTTCTTTTGTTACAAATCTCAGACTGTCCTCTGTTTTACTTAAGTCAAGCTTTTGCCAAGTACAAATCTGGGCAGGGCCTCTAACTGAGGATGTGAGACATGTTTCCATTGGTCGGAGTCCTGCCATCACTCAGTCCATCACATTCTGGCTTGACTCTTCTCCAGCTCACGGTCATTCATGTTGTTTTGGAATGTCCGAGCTTCAAGAACTCCGGGTCAAAGTAATTTGTTCATCCGTTTTCTTCTGCTTATCCGGGGTCGGGTCATGGGGGCAGCAGCCTAAGCAGAGAGACCCAGACCTCCCTCTCCCCAGCCACTTGGTCCAGTTCGTCTGGGGGAATCCCAAGGTGTTCCCTGGCCAGCCGAGAAACGTAGACCCTCCAGTGTGTCCTGGGTCTTCATCTGGGCCTCCTCCCAGCGGGACGTGCCCGGAACACCTCACCAGGAAGGTGTCCAGGAGGCATCCTAATCAGATGAACCTCAACTGGCTCCTCTGGACGTGGAGGAGCAGCGGCTGTACTCTGAGTCCCTCCTGGATGACTGAGCTTCTCAAGGGAGAGCCCAGACACCCTGCGAAGGAAACTCATTTCGGACACTTGTATCTGTGTTCTTTCCGTCACTACCCAAAGCTCATGACCATAGATGAGGGTAGGAACGTAGACCGACTAGTAAATCGAGAGCTTCGCCTTCTGGCTCAGCTCTCTCTTCACCACCACAGACCGGTACAACGCCCGCATCACTGCAGACACAGCAGCAATCCACCTGTCGATCTCCCGCTCCATTCTTCCCTCATTCGTGAACAAGAACCTGAGATACTTAAAACTCCTCCACTTGGGGCAGGACCTCCTCCCCGACCTGGAGAAGGCACCAGGCCGCTTCACACTCGGCTGCGAACCGCTCCAGTGAGAGCTGAAGATCAGGATCTCATGAAGCCAACAGGACCACATCATCTGCAAAAATCAGAGACGTGATCCTAAGGTCACCAAAGATTTGAGCTTCATTAAGGTTCTTGAGTATCCTTTAAAAGTCTTAAAAGGCATTAAACTCATCTAACAGTAAGGCGCCCACCATGGGTGGTAACAACCTTAAATGAGGGTGGATACTTGCCTGGTAAAATAGCGGTAAGTATATAAATAATAGTGTGTGTGTGTGTGTGTGTGTGTGTGTGTGTGTGTGTGTGTGTGTGTGTG